CACGAATACATTCACTGACATGACCGTCAGAATTGACAAACGTCAAAATTCAAAGCGGAAATATGTCCGAAGTGGCTCGGATTCATGGGTACTCCTCATCCACCGCCCCTCACCATCACCTTCAACCCTCACCCCCTCTCCCAACCAACCAACTCTCAATCCCTGATCGCCAAACAGTTAATCTTAATCATCATAGTTCGGTCCTCGGTAGACGCGAAAAGAAGGTGAGTTCATCGCCACTATAATATCTATCCAAAATTTGAACTGTGATGATGTTATGCAAGTACCTAACAAAATTTCGAACTCTCTTAGAAAATTTTCATAAATTTTTCATTATTAAGTAAATTTTTGGGTTAAGTGGATCTTTATTTTTATTACAGTTAATTATTTTTTTTCTCAAAATTGTATTGCTTGAATTAAACGAGATAAATAATGAATTTAATAACAAAATTAATCTGAAAAGCAATAATTTATATAGAATGACTTTTACCAAAAGAAAATAGATAAGCAAGGTTCTTGGGTATGCGTTAAACAAAAAAGACACCATTTTAAAGTATATTTAATTTAATCATTTTTATCTAAACAAGATACTTGTTCCTCTTGGAAACATGTATAGACATAATTAGATTTGCCAATAATTTGGTGTGATTTGAAAACTGCGGAGGTATTTATTATTGTAATGGATGTATGTTATAGTTTTGTTGTACTTGTAGTAGTGCAAAAATAAATAAAATCTTTTGATGCTAAGGGTTGGGAGTCAAGTGATCAAGGGTCAAAGTTATGTATACAGTATCTTAAATAGTAGGAGTGGAAAGATATATTGTTCTACGAAAATGCAAAACATCGCATTTTCCGAATTTGCTTTTTATTTTAAGATCTTAGTTGCTTATAGATTTCTATAGATTCTCGGATTTTTCGTTGGTAGAAGAATTGATTACATGCAAGAATTTAATATTAGGTAATAAAATATTATGTTCAGTTTCTTAAACGCGACTCAGGCCTTTACCTGTCAATAATATGCATTATAGTAGCCTGTGGAAGTTTCTTTGAAAAAGTACCTATTTTGGACTTGTTGGAGCAGCTCTGATATGGTCTTTTTGAGTTTCCTGACTTGTCTGATTTTAACTTGCAAATATTAAAGGAAAATATACCGGTACGTCAGGCAGACTTTGCGAAATAGTTCACGAGAATTAAATATGAATCGTGATGAAATATGAATCGTTTCAGATTGTGCCGGCCCATAAGAGCGAAGACGACCTCGCTTTCTCGTAAAAATCTTTCCCGGTTGTTTCATTCCTCCATTCTCCCCTCCGAATCTACTTAGTCGCCACCTTTCGTTCGATCAACGCGAGGACTGATTTTAATGTGGACTCTATTTTGATGGATTATTCCGGGATCACGAAAATAATAAGACCGGTCGCGGAGGATCTATTTTGACTCTCGTTCCGTTATGATACCTCCCTGAATTGTTTATACAGGAAAATGATTTATTGGTCCCGTGCAGATTCGGGTTCGTAACGATAACGGTTTAGCTTATTTGCATTGTGCCAGCGAAATGATGAATTTTAAAGTTGCAGTAAATGATCAATCGATTTTTAACATGAAATGTGTCCGCAGTTATTCCTGGGTGACTGATATACCATGATTAAGTTTAAATCAGCTATAAATTAACATTTTTGAAGACGATTTTCATCATATCTGATTTTCAGAATAGCTTTGTTCATTTATAGCCTTGATCCGTAAAAAGGTGACATAAATAAGAACTGGACTAAGGATAACTGTATCATAAATTTGGAAAATAACCAAATCTAAAAAGTTTTCACATGAAAATGTAAAAATTACAGCTCTCTAAATTAGTTTCACTAAAACAAAATTTTCAATATTTTTTGTGGTTATTTTGGTAGCTATTTAAAAAAATCAATAAGTATGTCGTGGGTTTGCTGAAAGTTCTTTAAAAGCCGTAACTCCGAATGGTTATTAGTTAGATAACATTGAAAACCCCGCAACTTACAGCCGGACCAGATATTTAGTGGCAGGTGTCGGAACATGGGATGAAACGATTTCATTTTAATTTTTGCGCGTTGTGTATGAAAATTACTTTTACGTGTCATTCTGTATATCATATTACCGCTTGCCGTTTGCGCTGCGAAGGGAAGAAATAAAAAATGCGACATTTGCGCTGCTATTCGGTTCATTTTATTTTTACTAATAAATCGTTGATGAGGTCAGTTAATTAATTATATTCCAGATCAAATCCAATGTGAAATTAATTTTAATTTGTAATTACAAATTTGCACATTAAAACGTGTATAAAATAAGCCTCAGAGTGATTTGTAATAATTTCACGCATCGAAATATGAACCAGGAATAAAATTCGTTCCGAAAGCATTTAGGGATAATTTACAATTTCCATTTAACATTTCAATATTCAATATTTGCAGTCATTAATCATAAACAATACGTTAAAGCTAATGAGGTTGGAATGAATATACAGTTCGGTAATTTAACACTAAAGACTACGAGACGGTTACGAGTTAAAACTGTCCAGCAAATGCTTTCGAAATTTCGCAAGCTCAACAATGAATTTAAATTATAGTGATGGGGTTGGACGTTCGTTTGCGAGCTTATATCATTTCAGTTATATGTGACCAAATAAATACAGTTACCAAACTGAAACTCGTACGGATTTGTGATGAGCACTTAGTCCATAAAAAAGCACAAGTGACAATAACACAATATTAAGTAAGGTAGTAAAAGAGTCAGTTGCGGTTATCTATCTTCGTTCGTCCACCTATGAAGGTGAATTCTTCAATTTTTACTTCTAATTCTGCTTTGTCTACTAAACGTACCAGCGCAGTTTGTGGGCAGTTTATTGGAGGATATCAAAACATTGTAAGTTTCTGGATTTGTCCTAAACCGACATGATCGAAAACATGGTCAAGTAAGTGCCAAATTTGATTATAGTTCATTTTAAATTATAATAGGCTATTTTCGTGGAGTCCATTTCAAACCTATTCGAAATATAAACCGATTGAATGAATAAATGATTGCTTATGTTCGCCACCGAGCTACTTAAGAATATTGTTTTATCTTGCTGTAGAGTTATCTAATAAAATGAGTTAAACAAGGAAAAGTTTTGTTAACCTCACAGTTAAAAAGGTATTAAACGAAAGCAAAATATTTTAATATCAAAATAAGAGGAAACAGATTGCTTCTGAACATCTCCAGCAATGTCTAAAATTTAATATCTTCTGTGATTTCTGAAACAAAAAAATATAATTATTGTTTTTGTCTTGCCTTTACTATAGTCAAATAAAACGTGCCAAACTTTACACCTCATCCAATTAAAACAATAACCAATATATTTGAAGGTTACAATTGCTAACTGATGAAACATTCAGCGTCGATTTCAAAATCTGTTGAATAGGTTCCAAGTGAGTCCGAAATTAAAAACGCTTTCTCTGCGAATACAAAATTTTTAATCCGGGGTGGATAAGCTGGTTCTGGCGTTGTGACTCTACACGAAAGAGACACTTTATTTTGAGTGCATTTAAATGTTCTCTTCTGTTCTCAGCTCTATTGCCTACGTCCCTTATAGGTAGAATGTTGATAACCAGACACGACATATAGATGTATAGAGGCGTTACTCACCTATTTTAAAAATGTGGACCCATTCGTAACAAACATGTGTTAAGGGGAGTTATTCAATATGCCCATGTGCGGGTGATATCAAACGTCACTTTTGACCCTGGATTAAGAGTTGGAAAGAGTAAAAAATGGCGCAGAAGGCTGGTAAATATTTGAAACACGTTTCGATGCGTAGATCATTCCTTCGTTTCCGAAAAGTCATAGTGATGTGCTTTATTCCATGTCTCCTCAGCCCGGTATTTGTTTCTATTAGGCGGCGTTAGCAGTATTAACTTTTACTCTATCTATGCATTCCACAAAGGAAATATTCAGCTGCAGGTTATTGTTTCTGAAATAAGGCAATACAACTTTCGAAGCAACTAAAACAATTAAAATTAAAAAAAAAAATTAAATCATATTCCTTGTACAGCCAAATTTTAAAATTTTTACTCGGACGATCTCTAAACACTAAATAATTATAATTATAAGCTAATTCTTTTTAAAGAAACAAATGGATTTATATTGATCAGTGTGACTTGATCTAAAGCACTGTATCTAATATATTGCAATGTTAAGGTGGATATCATCTGAATTTAATATTTTAATCTAGTATTTTATGTAATTGGTTAAGAATAACCTAGAACTTCCGTACGTACTAAGCATTCGTAGCGCTGGTAACTAAAGGTTTATGCTATTCTACTATTTACTATTGTTTGGAACGAAGCTGTGTTGTGGAGCCAAAATCTCAATCCGAACTTTTTCAAACATCCTATAGAAATATAGTAGGGAATGCCGTAAAATGGCAAACTAAATTCGAACTTCAATTTGAAACTGGATAAAATTTTATCGGGTTGCATAAAAAGGGTTTCGCTAAAATTAACTGTAAAACGGTCAATTTACAATGATGTTGGGAACCAACCGTCCGTAACAACAATGAGGTTGGTCATAAAATATAATATCGATGTCAGCCGACCGCATATCAAATATAGGACATTTGTAAATCGGTGCGCTTGCAAAAATGATTAATGGTCAAATGGAATTTTATTAGAAAATTCATGCCTGAAAAGTTCCGTATATAAAAACATGGCAAACTATTAAACTTTCAATATTAAATGCATAAAAAACTGTCTGCTCGAGTCAAATCTGGTTATCAATTATTTAGGTTAAACGAGAAATGGTAATGGGTAAGGTAAAGGTAATAAGTTTAAAATTTAGAGAAATGTACTTACCGGTAATCTGCACAGACGTTATTTGCATCAGTTTAACAGGAACTTTAATTTAGGTTTCTTTGAATTATTGGGTACGGGGTTTTGCATTCTATTAATAAAACAAGATAATATTTCCACATTTTAATAATAAGATTAACAGTCGAAATAAATGAATGAACTCATTTGTAGAGCGATTGTTCAAAAGCGAAAATATTCGGCAAGCTATACTTATGAGAAAGTGTTTCATTCCTTAAGGAAATTGACTTAAAGATATTTGACAGATTGATATAATAAAATTCCGATATTCACTTTTGAACAACTTTTCATTCTTCTACAAAAATAATACGGCGTCTAGTGGAAGGCAAAGATAGCTTTTGATTCAGATAAAGGAACTTAGCTTCTAGTGGGAATAATTTATCCCAATCGGAAATTTTAACGAAATTAGATGTTCTAGTAGTTGTAGCACTAAGTTTTATTGTTTCAAGCAGTCTGTTACATACATAAGTACATATTACTTTTAGCAGTTTGTTTACATTTTTATACAGTACAATTCTTTACACACCTTTTTACAATATGTACAAAACATTTCGGATCAGTCTCAGAATAGTCGATATGTTACACGAAACCATTATGTTATTTATGTGAAAATGTTTTTCGTTAATATATTTCGATGTATTTCATTTTAAACATTTTAATCACATGACAACACAATTTCTAATCGCTACCAAAAAAGATTTGTACTTCTCCGAGATTGCATGAAGTTATTGCCAATTGCCAATCTTGAGTTTCCTTTTTTTGCTCAAATTTTCAGAAACTTTAGATTACTTTTTACTAAAATATGAGGCTTTGAAAAAGTTCAAGTTATCTTTTTAAAATTACTTGTTGTATATTGAATAGGGTATCCCAACAGGGTTAAAAGTATCAAAACTATCAAGACAATAAAGAATAATTATGGCGGTTTGTCGTTTTTTTTGTTAAAGCCCTCACACATTTTTCGAAATTATGTTTTGGCCATTAACCCTAACCTATTTTGTTATATTCTACTACACAAGATCACTCAACATTAGCAAAGATAAGTAGGACTTCGGCAAACGTTCTGTAGGTATGGTTTTTGTAGTCCCAATTTGTTACAACATAAGAGAGAATTTTTCTAAAAACTTTCATGAATGGGAAATCCTTTTTGAGTTTTATTAGTACTTAGTAGTTCATGGTGGTATAATTGGTTCAGTAAATAAGGCCGTAAATATTTACAAAATTCAAATATTATTAAGAGCTGAATTTTATATAGGTTTCTAATGTTATTGATCTCAACAACACTTATGACGAGTTTATAGTGGGATGCATTATACAATACCATTTAATATTATTATTAATATAATAGAAATGAATAACTCATACATAGCCTAACTTTAGCAAAAGAATAATTCTGTTGAATAAACGAAGAAATAATTAAATTCTATCTATACTTCATCACTTGTATCGCTTATGAAATGGCTTGAGTTTTATTTCACATGGGTAACATTGACACGCGAAGTGAATAATACATCTAGGTGATTCTTCGCTTTCAAAATCCGCAGTGGCTGGACGGCGCCACAAATTTAACACCCCTTGTAAAATTTGCCTATCGGAATTTACCACCGCCTTCTGTTTGAGTCGACCGCAATATGAGAAAATTCAGACTATCCCTTCTTATCTTTGTTAAAGTTCGTTGGAAATGTGGCTACATTAATCAACAAATGGTTTTAAGCTGCGGAAGTATACTGCATAGAACAGAGAAAGGTGTCTGACAAATTTAGAGGTATCAAAATCTAAATGGTCACTTACTTCCTGGTATTAAAACTTATGGAAAACAAATAATTTAAATTCACGTACTTTTGTGAAAAAATGTTGGACCAAAGACAACATCGACCACACGTGCTGAATACATTTGGAACTGATATACAAATAATATATATTATATATTATAATATATTCAAATAACATACATTTGAAAAAAGAAAGATAAGTGTTGGTTCTAGAGTTGAGAATTAATTTATTTCAATTTGGGAAACAGTCATCCGTCAAAGTATTGCAGACACCCCCCCCCCCTTCTTCACAATCGACCTTTTTCCTTTAGCCCGCCTCCAGAGGTATTTAAAATGTTTACAGAGCAGTCTCTAATTTTCAGACAGTCCTCCGAAGAAGTCATAACAGCATACTTATATGAAGGAATAGTTGTGAATAAACTGAAAATCGCTAATAATTGGCCATAACATAGTTTTTAAATTAGATTGATCCAATTGAGTGAAGAAACTAGGAGATTGTGACTATTTTACTATCATGTTGAGAAATTATGATTCATTTAAGTTTATCATCAAATATCTCACCTAACGCCCGCAGAAAATGAGAAAAAGTTATTTCCTTGTATCAGTAAGTGCGTTTCACCAGCATACTACATTTACCCGTATTCGCAAACGCGGCATTATAATGAGTAGAACTTTTTGAAGAATTAATTTCCTCAAATAGAATCTCAATTTTCACTCTCCTTTCCAAAGATTCGCCGCCAAAACTTTGTATATAAAAATAGCGGTCGCTACAAATGACAAAAGTTTTCGGTCTGTTATATTGTTCTTATCGCTCTTTCTAACTGGCTAATTTAGCAGCTTACATTCGTCACCGGCTCGTTGCCGAGGCGTTTTTGTCCCTCTCTATTGGCTTTTAGGGTAATGTAAAATATGGACCAGAGTTTTCGGAATCTTTTTAATTTCAACTTTTGCAATTCCACACATAAATCACGAATCCTTAGTACCCTCGCCCAAATATAAACTTTGAACCTGACTTGTGAATTCGGTTGCCCTCAAACATTTGGTTAAACTCAAAACCAGCACTTAATCGCGTTATTTCTTGTTGAGCTGCTAACAAGAGGTAGTAACTGATTCAGATTTCCAACTTATCAATTTATTTACGCATCGGTAAAAATAATGCCGGGTTTTCATTAGTTCGTTGTTGAATTTGATAGACGAATTTATTTGAGCTTGGCGAAACGTCTGGGGGATTCCAGTTGGAATTCAACAAACGGATGGATGATATCCCGGAAAATTGTTCATCCATCAATCACTGCGTGTAGAACTCAAAATGCGAGATGTCAAACTTTATTTGTGGTAAAAGACCATGTTTTGACATATTTCCTTTATAAGAATTTTTCTTTCTTCTTTTTTAAAAAGGACACAATCTGGTCTTTGATTGTATTAAAAATTTAACTAACCAAAACTGTCAAAAATGTGAAAAGAACGAATTTTCTCTGAATTGAGTAGGTATTTTAAGCTTAGAGCATCATTTTTTTCTTCAAAAATCTTCAGTCCATACACCGTCCGGATGCCACTAGTGCATTACTTAGGGGTTTTCCCATTTTTCATTTCGAATTTGTCTCCTAGAATTCTATTATTTTACTTATAGCTCATATTATATGAAACTAAATTTTACCTACAATTATAGACACACTTTTTAGATATGTGAAACGATTATATCTATTAAATGATGAAAACAATTTTCTAACTTTGGACCATAGCCAGTGATTAAAGTTTATTTGAAAAGTTCATGATTTGATTCGAAAATGATTGTTTGAAAATTGCTGGTTGTGAGTAATAAGACTCTAAGATAATAACATCAGAGAAGTCTCTGAATCCAGAAGTTATTAGAGAGTGTTGATATACCGAAAAACATTTTCACATTTCGACTACTGCTGAAAAGGAATAACACCTACATTGTTATCGGTTTGCTTTGATATGGAGTACGTCTGTTAAATTATAGTCATCTGCAATTTATACTAAATGCGTAAAGCAGCAAACTGATGAAGATGCAACATAATGCCGCGGAAGATCCGGAAGATAAGGTCCCACTAAGGGATGCGGGTGGTTCGCCCATAGGATTAGGACCGTTTGAGGGAAGAGTGTATTCACCATCGTCGTCATACTCTCCTGAAATGAAAGACACCTATGCAATTTTCCATCTGGGCAGCAATATATGCTATTTTTATATTGGGTGAGCCAAGAATTTTGCACAAATTAATTTATCATTGGTGAACAAAAACATCTAAATGAAATTAATTCCTCTGAAATAACCTATTTTGGCAAGCGTTTATGGTTTCCTTTATTCCAGTTCATTTTTTATCATTTTCCAGCATCATTATCTAATAATAAAATGGATCCAGCTCCTCAGTAATTACAAGAAGCTATTTTAATAATTTCTGCGGAGATGCAGCGGCTCCGTTATGTATGGAAAAATATCGGCAAACCCCATTCATTCGGCATTACTTGGCCTGGATATTTATTTTCTAGTGGTATCCCGGCACGTTTTTAAATGTTCAGACATTCAATCAAATTTGTTTAATAAAACTTTGGCATTATTATTATTTAAAAACTTCTATAACCAGAGGAAAGCATTAATATATTCATTAAATATTAAATAACTCTTGCTTTTTAAAAAGCGTAGGTTTTGCCCGTGGCAGTATTAAATTTCATAACAATTATAGTTCCAACTAGTTATAATTATTATTGTTATAACGTCCTATTAAATGTTCTGAAAAACTATAAAAGACGGTGGGACGAGGGAACAATACTGGTTGTCATCATTATAAATCTTGCACTTTCTTTTGGGTAATCACATGTGGCAAAGATGCGTTTGGTGAAGATATTTGGAAAATGCATATTATCATCTATTATCACCTTACTATGTGCGGTTGCTGATGTTCTCCTAAAGGCAGGAAAATGGTTCACAGCATCTTGCCTCCCACTAAATCAGTCCAAGACCGAAATTTTGTTAATATCCAGCAATAACAGAGATACTTCAGGCAAGCGATATAAAATATTAAGGACACCTATTGAGTATTCTCTAAATTATTATTAACATAGCTTTCGAAGCACTCTTACTTTTAAGAAGATTGCACGGATGCTTTCGCATTGAAATTTGGAAAGATGTTAGTTTTTGCTCATTTCATATGGAGAACGTTGTAAATCGTGATTTGGGGAATTAACATAACATAACATTAACATACAGCAGACACTAATAGAGATATACCGAACTAAACATTTTTCAAGCTATTATCTTGATTCGGGTTTAAAGGCCGTCGTCGATTGGAATTACTTCCTAACGTTTCGGTAGCTTATCGACGGGCCGCGAAAGCCTTAACCAATTTATTAAACATTTTTCGTTGAATTTCCAAGTCCACGGAAGCAAGTCAGCTAAATGAGGGTTTTCCCTGCTTATGCCAATAAAACCGCGACAGCAATATAATTTTAAAAATAGAATAGAATAAATAGTTCATTGACCGGTGAACTTGCACATTAGACTTATACTCTAGATGAGAATTATGAGCAAAATTATACGTGGATGAATTGTTTGAAGGCAATCTTCTATGATTTCATCATGTTATTTACAGTTTAACATTATTTTTCGTATTTTTCATTTAACTTAATATGCCATTTAATTCTCATTATAAATTATTATTTTTTAGTTATTCATTATTATAATTATTAACTTATCCCTATTTTTTTGTTTTTTTTGTGATAAATCTGGAGAACTTTTCTGTGTTCTGTGCCCCGGGCCTTTAAGTTGAGTGTCCTAACTTTATAGCTTATAGCTAAACGATTTCAGTACATTTTTAACGACTAACATGATGAAATATTTACTCCACGATAGAATGTTGTAATAAGCAAACTCTGCCAGCGGATACGTAAATAAAAGTAGAGAGAATGAATCTACTTCAAACGCCAGTTGCAAATACTAGGAACTCAACAATAAATATTTTCGCATGACCTAACAAACAAAGCAAACCAATATCCGCGGAATCCTGAAAGCATGAGAGACAAAAATGCCTGTGATGCAGTAAATACGCCTTATACAAAAATTGCATTGTCTATATTTTCAGCCCGAATTCATTTCTGGAATCGACATAAGGAAAAGATATAATAGTGCGTCTAAAAGCTGGGACGCCTTTTTAGCGTCTCGCTACTTTGTCTTGTGTTTTTGTTTCGCGTCAAATTTTTCGGTAAATGTCCCTTGTTGCGAAATACAAAATATATTCTTGTTTTGACAAGTACCAGCTGCGTTTTAATTTAGTTACGTTACACACAAAACTTTCATAAGCATGCCTGTTTCTTTCTTCTTGTCTTTTGTCTATTTTATTATTATATCGAACGTGCCGTTTCTAGATGTCCTTGTCAGTAATACAATCAGCACATGTGTTATCTAAATCCAACACATATAGTAAAATATCTAAGGTATCAATCTAACTATTCTGGAGCAACGAAACTTGGAATAGTTAAAGCTTTATGTAATCGAACAAAGTGACTAGGCGTTGAATTGGATAATGTTAAAGCAGATTTGTTTCAGAACGGTTATAATGAAAAATCTCTCTATAGAACTATATCCAGGTGTAAAGCAGGCATCATAAAACTTTGAACACTTGACGAAGATACACTCTCTCAATCATTGAAATTCACTTAGAAATGGTCAGATGAATAGCACAAAAGTATACATCAAAACAGTTTTCAAATCAAGTGAAACAAGAAAGAGAGTACGTGTACTTTATGATTAGAGTCACTAACATATCGGAGAGACAAGAGGCCCTTTAAATATACGACTTCAAGGACAGAAACACCAGTAATACAACATTAAATCGTCAGAGAACCTTGTTGTCCACAGGAGACTTCACTAGCACAACTTAAAGAAGCTGCTTTTAGCAATCCAAGAGTAGAAATACATGATTTTGCAACTAATAATCAAGGGTCCTCGGTGCACAACTTGGTTGATTAATTTTTATTTGGAATTGGAGGCAGTCCAATTGGGTCAAGAATAAAGAAATAGGTTAAATTTGTATAAATCTTCTAATTCATTTTACATTTGATAAGGGAGTGTGATTTGTCTGAAATATTGTGTAATTTAGTTAAATAAAGACGATCGAAGTTCAAACTTCTTTTAGATTCAGTATAATTTGAACCAAACCAATTTGAACTAAATGTCCATGTAATATCCCGTGTAACAAAATAATATGAGGCTAGGAATCAAAGTTCCAGTTTTTTGCAACAAGATGTTGCAGAGCAAACAACTTTAGAAGCGGTTCTTGCAGTATGTCCAAGGAAATGTTCTCGAACCCGCTCGAGAGTTTCCGAATCGCTATGCCTTGAAAGTTAAAATTCTTCCCTGACCTATTAGTGAGAAAATTCGAGTGAATTTTTCTTTAATCCGTCATACGCGTCACGTACACATACTTTGACTTTAATAAACCAATAACTTAGTTCCAGATTTCGAACTAATAAAAAGTTTTTGCGAGACGCAAAGCTAACAAAAGAAAAACTCTGACCTGATATTCTGGATTCGTCAAACTTCCTGGAGTTGTCTGCCTCGGAGTCCTGACGATCACCGCGCCTCGTACCTGCACACATAAAAGTCGTTTTTCATTTTCGAACTAAAAATAAAAAGTTTTTCGTGGCGGGAATACAATTTTGATTCGAAACTTTTGTATACAAATTGGGTTATTTGAAGTCTAATGCGGCATTCATAGTATTTTTATATCGCTTACAGAGACTTTTTTCAATTCTCTGCATTATACAGCATACACATATAAGAAATTCCTGAACACTTCGAAAAAATGAAAAAAGTACATCACGGGATTGCAAATTATGCAAAAAAAGTGTGAATTAATAATAGTTATTTAACAGTGTGAATTAATGCTTGCAATATTCTTAGTTCTATAAAAAGCTACTCATATTCGAATTTTATATATCATATAGAGCTCTAGCATAAGAAATCCTAACATGGATTTTTGTATAAAATTGTGAAATACAAAACGAGAATGATAGATTTTCTATATATTATAAGTTAATAAATGTATCTATTTAATATTCCTAATGTGGTGCTGTATTCCTCGGTATAAGAGTGACTTTACTGCAGTAAAAGATTATTTATTTTTGTGACTTATTTACTTTAGTAATTTAGTTAATTATAGTAACTTGTTCATATACATAAAAGTACTATTAATAAAAGACCTTGAAACAGAACTTTTACATAACATACAGACTAGGGATTGCATCTAGTGTTACAATTTACCTTGATCCTGTGTTCTGCAGGGTACCATTTTTAATTACTAATCAGTAAAATATTAACAGTGGATTGTTGTGGTTGTGCTTTTTTGTGTTGCCTGCTGTATAATAGTTTCGGATTGAATGTTTTTTCATTGATATTTCAATTGTTAGAAACAATTGTTGAGTATACATTTTATATGACAGTTTATTCATTTTTTTAATAAAAGAGACATTTCTAAGACTTCGCAACACTCAATATTGAATGTATTGAATTTAGTGTCAGTAAAGTTGTAGCCAATTAAAAGGAAAAAATAATTTAACTAATACCTTAAACAATTTGTTATTCAAAATAGATATCATTTAAATCAATTAAAAGCAAACTACTTTTTAAACAAGTTTTAGAAAAAAGTTCACCTCTTAGGTGAAAGATCTGTGGTTAAGAGTGCTTGGGTTTGCATATTGGAGGAGAATTCTTTATAATTGAATAATCCTCTAAATACTCTTAGGTGAAGTAAGCACTCGGTCGTCGATGGTTATATTAAATACAAATTTATTTTTTTCACAAAAGAACTCACCCTTTTTGATATGTGATGAGGTCGCATGATACGTGATTGACTTCATCGTCGTCGGAGCTGGGATCTCTGAAAAACTTCACTATTTTACAAAATTAAAAAATATGCCTATTTTAATTCATTCGATTATAATTAATTTTACACGATTTTCCAATTGAGCGGACGAAACAAAAAACAAGAATACAAAATATCGAAAACCCGGCCGGTTTAAATTTATTTCTCTACCTACACATTTTCCCATTTACTCACCTTCCAATTTTATTACCCCATCAGTTTCTCCTAATGAGTTTTTGGCCACACATTTGTACGATCCGAAATCGTTTTTGTTAATTTTTCGGATCTTGAGCATCATGTATTTTTTATATCCATTGTCCATAGACACAGCCTCGTATTTATCACCTGTGAAGACAGTAATTTAAAATGAGTTTTTCTAAAAAATATAATATAGATGTGCTTTAGGTAGACATTTTTCATAAACCATATTTTAATTCTCTTTATAATCGTAATACATCAAATAAAAAGATTAATTCATTTTATTACATTGGGAATGTAAAGATTCTTATCCTGCATATCATCAATCATATAATAAATATTTTGACGTACATTTTATTTCAGAATTTAATTCATAAATGTACACAATTTGTGTTAAGATATTTTTCGAATAAATAAATGCGTACATCCATTTATTTCATTAGACTTCTGAGTTTTTTGCTGAACTATCTAACCAAATTGTTGCATTGCGTTAATCGTAAAGTGGTATTTAGAGGACAAATGCATTGGTAATAGTATATTATGCAACAAGTTTGATAAACGTCATTTTAGTCACGAGTTTCATTTGACACGAACTGACTATACAGTTTAAAAAACTAGTGACTAAAGAACTTTATCAATATGTTTTGGGGACATTTTTGACAAATAGCAGCAGTATATTCACTAAGTGGCGTGTGACCTGACTCTCCGTGTTAGTAGAGGATCCGGTTTAAGAACAACACCCCTCATTATTATTATATTATATTATTTTATTATGATTCACCACATAAAAAACACTTCATTTTTGCATTTTTGTTTATTGAAAATTATCAAAACAATAATACACTAATAAATAATAGACGGAGTAGACCACGTTGCTAAACAAAACCGTATTTATAAATATGTATAGGTATATACTATATACATTGTAAACGCGGTAAGGCTCCAAAATAATTTTAAGTGGGGGAATATATTTATCTTTGTCTTATACACAGAGAACTAAACACACGCCTTTCTCTTTCTGGCAAGAGTCTTATGCGCAGCTGTCCTTCTCCGCCGTACATGAAAAAAGATATAGCACTCGCAGTCACACTTTATTTTTACATGATAGTATTGAAACTTTAGATCGTGTCAATCATTAGCTTTGCCACGATTTGGAAAGTCAATCATATATCGTTGGGTTCGTAATAAAATTCTGTATATTTACATATTGATTTTTTAAAGAAAAAGAATGAGGGTAAATCACTACATCCGATTACCTGTTTACACCTGGTTGACACGTATTGTTGCCTAAAAAAAGGTAGTCAAACATTGTATGGCATTTTCTATATACTTTTTTCCTTTGAGACGGTAACCAAGAAAAAAAATGAAATTAATTAATTTTTAATTAAAAATAGTCTTGCTAAGATATAGACTGTCAATCATTTCTCATTTGATTAATCAAAAAGTTTTATTATTAAAAAAATATATTTTATCACGGAAAAGAATGAGGGGTGTTGTTCTTAAACCGGATCTTAGACTATGTGTGTGGGAGTTTTAGATCAGAAAAAGAAATTGCACTGATTGATAGCGCTTGTCTGTAAGGATCATAATATGAATGCTAGGTACCAAATCTGTTAAGTTTCAAATGTTATATAAGGCGTAGTTGCATTTTAATATAATTAATACAACTATATTAAGAATAAGCAAATATAAAACGACTACAACGCATTACTATTAATTGTTAACTTGCACTAGCATCTCAGAGGTCGTCTAAAACTCCAAATTTGATTTAGTCGATATATTCTTCTTCATACACAAAACTTTGGTGGATGGTTAAAAAACATTTGTTTGGTAATACTGATGTGTTTATGTATAAAGTTGGACAAACTTTAATGTTTAAAAAAAAACTTCATTATAATATGTAAAAAGTATCATGGGAGCGCTCCCCACCGCATCATAATTAATAAATTATTCTAGACGTATACTTTTTAATTACCCGACTGCGGTAATTGCATCACTATTATAAAGACCCGCGAATGCAAAAACTTTTTCACCGCAGCTACGAAGGCTAAGAAACTATAACAGTTCGAAATTTATAGCCAAATTAATTTATAACAAAATGAGTAGGTGCACACTGAATTAATATACCTAGTTCCTTTATTGCGATAATTTTTCTCTCGTTTTTTTTTGAGAGGAAGGCCACCAAAATTATATATTACAAATCACTTTTGAATTACTATCAATGATTTGTTGATACCATATATACTAGATATGCTATGTCGATACTATACACACTTCAGAAGTACACATAAAAAATGTTGAGAAAGGACAAAATTGATTTAATAATCAATGTAATTCGTCAGTTTTCAGCTCAAGTTCAAAGTTCAAAATATGCCTATTAAATTTTTCAGGAAAAAGGGGTTTCATGTGCAGAGATCGATGTTTCGAAAGAAGAATTGCAGGTTAGTGTGTGAAATTTAAGGCTATGGGTATTCTGTATTTTTACAGTATTTATAACCCCAGTAATATCTAATAACCATATGGTTGATTTCATTGTCGATATGAAAGACGAAAAAAGGACATTTTTATACATATTTTGTGTACGGTCAACCTTAGTCGCCAACGGGGCGACAAAAATAATAAAAGCCCGAAGCATTTCAAGCAATTCCATTTGAGACAATGTCAGATCCGATTTTGTCAAGAGGTCTTAATCCAAATGATTTGGGGAATGTTATTTAGGAATGAACTTTTCTTCTGTAAAGAGATCAGGATCAGACAAATAAGATTATATTATTTGCAGAATGTTTCTTGAATATAATTGTTAGGAGAATTTTAAACAATAACGTAGAAGAAAACATTAATGAAGACTGAAATGAAAAATAATCTATTTCTACACAAGAACAATATAATTAAAGTCGGAACAGATGAGAGTGGATTCTTGTGGGATTTAGGTTCATTGTTTGATTCTAATTTAAGATTTAAAGTTACAACTGTTGGATACTTTAGTTCTTAGTCGTTTTAACTTTGCTGACGTGGTCTATGGTCCTTGTGTAGATAGAGCTAATAGAAATAGAATTCAACGCGTGCAAAAATCCTGCTCGAGGTTTTTTTACGGTATTCGCCGCCGTGAATCAGTTTTTTACATACTACGCCAGACTAATTCGTTATCAATGGAGGACAGAAGAAAGCTGCGCTCTGCTTCATTGTTCCATAGTATAGTTTATTCTTGGGCACCCTTGGTATTTAACTTACAGAACTCGTTTCAGAGCCAATATACATACATAAGTTTAAAACATCCCGGATTTATACCGCCGCTAAACCACATTATAAGTATGATTCAAGTATTACCTTAGCGATTTTTCGAGTGTGGTTACTTTTCGCTAGAGATATATTAATATAATTAACGAAACTGTTCCTATTAGCTGTTAGCTATTAGCAGCAATTTTAACAATACGATCAAACAAAATATTGCATATAAAATATATTAATAGGGAAACACTTTTTTTGTAATATAGACATTGAAGTCAAGTTGCCGTGAGTATGAAATAATGGTAAATAAATAAAATGGTAAATAAAGTGTGTTTATACCTCATTAACAGTTGATCATATAATGAAGTGATCCATACCAGGTTCAACAACTTCTAACAATTATTCTTGGCATAATAAAAGATCTTTAGATTTTGAGCATGATGGTTTGTTAAACGTATATCTGAATCTTCAGACATTAATTGGATTTTACAGTTTCTGATCAATTAATTTTTGAATTTCTAAAATTGTAAATATGTACATAAGCAAACAGATAACTAGATCAATAAATAAATTAAACACTATACAGTTGGCAGAATTTTTCCGGGAATAAAAGCATTAGTCACTAACGACTACTTAAAACTGAAATAACCTCAAAGAATGATCGAATATTATATTTAGTTTCGGTTGTTATATGGGATGTGACAGTTGGGATCTAGACTTTACTACGATCAATCACCTGTGGAGATGTGGTTGCAGCTCCGCAAACGCCATTCGTGAATTATTTGAAATAATTTAGAGGAAACTAATTCTTTCCATTAATTTACTTTAGAATTTCGTCATTGAATTGTAATTATAACAACTTGTTTAAATGATTCAATATCAAAAAAGACGTAATTAGAGAATGCAAGGACGTCACGATATGTAATACCAACTATTAGCTTGGTAGTATTCTTATCAGTGTATAGAATATGGGAAGCAAAGTTATGGTTGTACTATAACCTCAATTTATGTTCCGCTACTGATTAATTTTAATTACTACAGAAGTTTTTTTAAAAAAATCTCCGTTTCGTAACTCTACGAAATAAAAATACCAGCTCGATGTGCACAAAAATTCAAAAGAGTTCTCGGACCATCCAGATCTTGATTTCAGTGTTAGTCACTTGTATTCCCTTACTATGCATAAAATACGTTACAACTTGAACGCAAGCTGCCGCATTCTAAAGCCGCGATTTTTTTTGGTTCCTAATTAATTAACTACAGGATAATGCTCTCTACACCGCCATGATTAATGGAATATCTGTTTTACGTTCATTTTGCACATTGATTAATGAATTTCAGAATGAACACATTCGCTAGGTTTATTCAAAGGTACCTACCCAAGTTTCCCGTTTTTTTTGCGCTATAAGTACATTTCCATGTAAAAGGTTTAAATGTAATTATTACACTTGAAAGTTGTGAAAATATTTGATGCCAAACACTAATAGTAATATCAAAATTGTTGCTTAAGAATGTATTCTAAACTGTATTTTTTTGAAGAGTGGCCGATGTGCGAAATGTATCGGTTTTGATTTATAATTTGGATTTTCTTTGATATAAATTTCCTCTCGATTAAGTTAATGAAAAGAAACTTGAGGGCACTAATAACGTAATTAATAGCGTAGTTTATTTTAGAACTAGCCTTAAATATATTTTTTTGCATTTTTTTTTAACTTTTTTGCTTTTTCGTTTAAGACTATTAAAATTTAGTATATTAAAACGGCGCTGTTTGACCTTTTCGTTGTCAGAAAAGCAATAACTAATTATGAAAGTGTAATCCCGATGCATTGCAATTCAATTAGAAACAAGCCAAACGTATATTAAATGCGGTATTAATAAAATATTATTTCGTATGTTATTTAATACCGAATAAATTAAAATAAATTTGGGTGCTGCTTATTTTGATTCATTCGTTTTGTGGTCGAATGGTGGTCGTGATTTTGTACAATACAGATTACAATTTATTTAGTCTATTAATTTTTTAAATTAATTTATTTTCATGTGGGTAAATGTTAGTAATTTACTAAAAACTGTTTATTGATTTTTAATTTAATTTCGAACAAAATTTCATACACATGAAAATGTTCTTTGGGTTCCTAGATTATCGTTTTTGTTATGCAATGCTACCCGGAGATAAATATCTAAAAAACGGCTTATCTACTTGTTGGGAAAGAATCCAATTTGATCAATCCTCTGATTTATTTTTAATAGTTTTATCCCATTTACTTCAATCACTTAAAAAGTAGAGTGAACTTGGATTAAAATTTTACTGTTTATTAAGTGCACGATTCTAAGTAAATTAAAGTCAGTTTTTTGTTAGTTATTTTCTTTCTGCGGTTTGTCTGCGCAAGGTGAGTCGCCTTGAAAAATATTACAATATGGATCAATTTTGTTGTCTCTGCAAAACCGTCGAAATTCCTTGCCGCAAGATCCTGTATTCTACCACATTACTAATAATAACTTAATATGTTATATGCATACCAGAGGCATTTAAACCATTTTTAGATTCATTTCACCGATAAAAAATAATGAAATAAATTTAATTTAATAAACATTTTTGATTATAAAGCATTTTTCAATAGCACAACGACAATAGCTACGAATGACAAATGGACACATTTTTAATTCTGCCCTTCACAGTGAAATCTAAGTGAGTGACAATTATTTTTAAATTGCAAATTCTTAATAATGGATTGTGAGTTCCAATAAAGGACAAGTTTTTGATGCATGAAATAATCAATCTTTAATTTCCTTATCCAAACGTCACTAACTCGAGGTATTTGAATTAATTTGTTTTCGAGCAAAATAATATATAAAACGAGGCAAAGCCAACTGTCCAATACTACTACCTGATATAATCATGTCGCCTCGTTCTGTGGTCCAGTAATTGATGGAAGTAGGAAAAGCTTCCGTCCGGCACTCCAGCGTCACTTCTTGACCGATGTAAGCACCCTCGAGCTGATTAGGTATGGACAGCATCGGAGGAACTAGCAAAGCGGAAACAAAAAAATAAAAAATAAAGTCGACCCTTAAATTGACGATGTTCCGAAAAATAACACTAGAGAAATCTCTTGCGGATTTAGAGTTGTGACAAATACACTTTTTTAATAACACACGACTATATTGAACCCTGAGATAGCCCCAAGTTCATGAATACAATAAAGGGAGCAATAAAAAATGTCAAAGCTCCAAGCAAAGAGGCAATTTATTGTAAAATCAAGCTTCCGCCCATGCATACATATATATATATATATATATATATATATATATATATATATATATATATATATATATATATATATATATATATATATATATATATATATATATATATATATATATCCACCTGTGGCAATGAAACAGTGTGTGCTCCACGTCGTCCAACAGGCCGCAGTACTGACAGTCACTGGGCGCGTCCTCGGTCGAACAGATATTTTCCAAAGCAACCATGCCCCGATAGAGCCTGCGTGAGAAAGTAGTCCACTTCCCCACGCGGGCGATTAATCCACTGTTGTATGTCCGGGATTAACTGGTTTGTCCATCGGCCATAGGTCCCCGTGTCCCATTTCTTTTGCCAGCTGGTTTGGAGGATATTTCGTGCTTCGTTTTTTGTTGCTCCTGAGTATCTTTGCCGCCGTTCCTCTAGAAGTAGCGCTATCGGCGGAATCCCCGCTATTACGCTAATTCCCTCCGTGGACACCGTTCTGTACGCGCTGCACACTCTCAGTGATAGCTTTCCTTGTAGTGTTGATAACACAGCTATTATTCTCGGTAATCTTGCTCCAGACTGGGGCCCCATACAGTATCTGAGAGTGCACCACGCTCGCTAGAAGTCTCCGTTTGGATGATATTGGTCCGCCTATGTTTGGCATTAGACACAACAGCGCAGAAGTCGTTTTTTCTGCCTTTTGCACAGTTCGCTTTACGTGCTCAGCGAAACTTAGCTTTCTGTCAAGCCACACTCCCAGGTACTTGACAGCGTCACTCAAGCCAATCTCACTACCCATAACATCGAAAACAACGTGGCCTATCTTCCGTTTTGTGGTTAGCAACACTGCTTTGGTTTTCTCCGGCGCTAGGGTCAACCGTCTCTGCTCGAGCCATCGCGCAACTCTCTGTAGCGCCGTGTTTGCGTTGCACATCAGGAGCTCCTCGTTCTTTGCTACCATAATCATGCCGATGTCGTCGGCAAACCCTATTAGTGTCACTCCGTTTGGCATCTCCAACGCAAAAAGCCTATCATAGAGCACGTTCCACAGTGTGGGTCCAAGGACCGAGCCCTGTGGTACTCCGCTTGTTATGCCGATCCCCTTTGCCTGTCCCTGTGCCTCCAATAGGATCTCCCTGTCAGAGAGGTATGACGCTATTAAGTTTATTAGGCCTTCGTCCATTTGGCGCTTTCTTAATTCCTCCAGGATTAATTGCCACGAGGCACTATTAAAGGCATTTCGGACATCAAGAGTTATTATAACCGCCAGTCTACGATTTGCATGCGCGAAATTTGAAGCCTTGTTGGAGATTTCAATAACCCTTGCTATGGCATCAACTGTTTGTCTACCGCTCCTAAAGCCATACTGCCTAGCCGACAGACCACCAGTACGCTCAATTTCCCTGTGCAGGCGTGCAATCACTAGTTGCTCGTAAAGTTTTCCCTCTGCATCCAGCAGGCAGATTGGTCTATAGGACGATGGGTTCTCCAGCGTGTGGTCGCCTTTCCTCAGCAGGATCATCCTAGCTGCCTTCCACTCCGCTGGAAAGCAGATTTTTTCTGCTAGCTTATTATAGGTGGCTAATACATATTCAGACTTTGTCGCCACCAGCTCCTTAAGGATTTCGGCCGGGACCCCTCCAGGGCCTGCCGCCTTCTTGTTCTTAAGTTTCGCAGCAGCGTTGCTTAGTTCATCCACGGTGAATACTACAGGCTTCGCACCATCGTCGCGAGCAAACGATACCGCGTCATGACACGGAAATAGATGTCGTACGATCTTCTCTGTTGCTTCCATGCTTAGGTTAGGTCGTGGCGGAAATCCAGAAAGGCTCTTCATCGCGATTTTGTAACCATCGCCCCAGATGTCACGATCAACGTCGTCAAGGAGCCGCGTCCAGCACTCTTTCTTTGCCTTCTTGATTTTGTCTCTGAGAGCTATCTTGCTTTCTTTGTATTCCTCCCATGTTCTTAGTGTATCTCGAATAATGCCATGTTTGACAGTTCTTGTGTATTTCCGTCGCTTATTTATACAGTCTCTACGAAGTTCCGCTATTTCGCTGTTCCACCAGTACGCAGGCTGTTTGTTCCTGAAACTCCTTTTCTTTGGCATTGAGATGTCACACAGCGTTGCCAACTCTTCTGAGAAATCTCTTGCCGATGGTCCGTCTTCGCCAAGCGACCCCATTGCATTGTGAAGCTTATTTCTGTCAAGTTTTTTGACTTGCCAGCCTCTGCATTCTCTTTGCCGTACCACTGTCGGGTCACTATTTTTTACTTCAAAAGTTATGTAGTTGTGATCACTTAACGTTTCTGTTTCAACTACTCTCCATTGTCCGATTTTCATACAGCCTTCAGTCACTATGGTGAGATCAAGAATCGAACCGTAGCCTTGGCTTTGAAACGTTGGCGAGTTTCCCTGGTTTACAGTGATTAAGCCGTTGGCGGCCATCCACTCTGTGACCATTTCGCCCCTCGCGTCAGTATGCGTCATACCCCACTCCGTAGATTTGGCATTAAAGTCCTCAGCAATGATAGCCTTTTCGTTGTTGCCTTGCACCATCCTGCCGATTTCAAATAGAGCCTCGTCCAGTTGATCAATCTCGTCGTTGCCGGAGAAATAACAACTAAAGATGGTAAAGTCTACCGTTTCTATAAAGCAATATCCGGAACCGCTACCCTGCCTTTTAATTGCTATGTTATTTCCAATGACTTTTATGGCAGCTTTGCACTCGTTATCCTTAATCCAGTCCTTTCTATTCTGAATGGCGATTCTATTAGGTTCGCTTACTATCAACACTTCTGCTTGCATGTCTATCGCGGTTGCCAGCGCCAGATCTTGGGCTACGCGAGTTCTGTTGGTATTTATTTGGAGGAATCTGATGATTGTGTGGGTGCGGTTGCTTTCTTTGGCGCTACCGCCGCCTGCACTTTTGATGGGCATCTAGGGGAGCCGGTTTGATGGCCCTCTGCTTTACATTGGAGGCAGAATGGTTTATTCGAGCATGTATCTGTTTTGTGGCCCTCGTGCCCACATTTCCGACATAGTTTTTCTCTATGTGGCCCTTTACATTGCGACTTGACATGCCCTAATCCCCAGCATCTGAAGCATCGGTCTTCTCTCTGCCTTTCGTAAATTCGGCAACTAGTCCAGCCGATTTTTATCGTCTTAAGATTGATAAGTTTTTCTGCTTTCGCCTCGCTTACAATTAATGTGGCATTTTGCCTGCCTCCGTAAGCTGGTCTGAGAGCTCTTACGTCTACATTACTGGGGTTGGTGCCCGTTGCCTTAGAAACAGCCTTTTTGATCTCGTCAGTTGTAGTAACTTCGTCCAGGTCTTTAACGTGGAGAACTTTTTTGCTTTTTAGCAAATGTGCAGTGGCCCCGGGTACCTTTTCACCAATTTCCCTTTTTAGCAGTTCAGCTCGATCGAATCCATTATTGACGGTAAGTAAGACTTGGCCGTTTCTTGTTTTTCTAAGTTGTCCAATGTCGACGCCAATGGCGCTAGGATCTACAGCAGTTTTAACGGCCTTAAGGAGGTCCGCAAAGCTCGTGTCTTTCATTTCTATCAGCAGCGCATCTTCCTTGGGTTTCCTCGGATTCGTTTGTTGCGTTTTATATGCTGGCTTGGCTGGTACTGTTCTCGTCGAATTTTTGCAATACGTACTGGGGTATCGCAGAATAAGAACTGCAGCATTCGTGTCATTATGGTTCCGGTGATCTCATCGTTATCGAGAATCGCTATATTAGTTCTATCCTGTTTTATGACTTGGATTTTGATCCTGCGTAGAGCCTCGAACATCTCTGAGTCGCCCACTTCTGACTGAGTGGATTTTTCGCTCAAGATAGGGTAGAATATCCACCTAGTGGACTGCACTAATTTTCCACTAACGTCAGGAAAGCCCACGGAGTGCACCATGATGGCAACTTCACCTTCTCTCTTGTTTTGAGACATAATATCATGTTTGGCCTCAAATTTGTCGATTGTTCTATTGATCTCTTTGTTGCGCGACTCCAATTTAGTATTACACGGCAGAATTAGGTCCCACTCCGTTGCGGTGTCTTGCGCTGGTCCCTCGATACTTTCCAAATCGTAAAATACGTTTTCTTCCCAGTTCTCTTCACCGATGGACTGGTAGCACTCGAAAGTCTCCTCTTTTTTGAGCTGCTAATGTCTCAAGACTCTTTTTTCCGCCCGTGCACACGCGTCACATTTTATAGTCTCTGATCTTTCTTGTCGTTTGTCGTTCTGTTCTGTTTTCATAGCGTTGACCTGCATTCGCAGTTCATCATTTTCTAGACGAAGTTTCTTTTCTGGCGTGGCCGATTTTGTCAGTAACCCCCTTGATGTATGGCAGGACAGCGATCGATCTTTGTTGGTTCTCGTCGTGCACTCTCTGCTGCGGCTGTTGTTGTTTACTGATTGCCTTGCTGATGATGCGCCTTCGGTATCCGTTTTGTCGAAGACAGGTACTAATTCTCTTCAGTTCTTCATCTCTGTTCCTCTCATTTGTGAGCCTGATGAGATTTAGCGTTCAGATATCTATTAGTGTGTGTTGGTTTTCTATAGACAGTGTGTTCCAAGTGTCCATCTTCGGTCCTTGTGATATGCACATCTAAAAAGGGCAGACTGTTATCCTCTTTAAGTTCTATTGTAAATTGAATCCTTGGGTGAATGGAATTCAGATGATCTAGGAATTTCAAAAGCTCCTCCTTGCCAAAAGGCCATACAACAAATACGTCATCTACGTATCTTGTCCATAGTTTTGGCTTCAGATTTGCCTTCTCTATTGCTTTCTTTTCGAAGTAAATCATGAAGAGGTTGGCAATCACAGGTGAGAGAGATGATCCCATTGCTGCTCCATCTACTTGTCGGTAAATTTTCCCGTTGTACATAAAGTAAGCGTTTTTCAGGCAATGTCTTGACAGATCTTCGTTTTCTTCTATAAGCAAGAGTGCCTCTTCTACTGGAATGCTCGGGTAGAGGGATTTGACATCGAAACTTTCCATATTGTCGTCCTTGTCAATCCTGAGAGAACCTAAAATCTGAGTGAAATGTTCTGAGTTTTTAAGATAGGAATCTACCTTTTCCACTGTGGGCTGAAGTGCACTGGCCAGATGTTTTTCCAGCTTACACAATGGTGAGTTAAAGGCGCTTACGATTGGACGCAGGGGAACCCCGTCCTTATGGATCTTTGGGAGCCCGTAGAATTTTGGGCAACGACTCGATTTTTCCCTCGGAATAAGTTTCTTCTTTGTATCCTCGTTTATTGATGAATCGAGAATTTTGGACTTAGTTGTTTTTTCCAAATATGTCGTGGGATCTCTGGTGAGTAGTTTGTATATTGGGTCGTTCAAAATATCCTCCAATTTTGCATTATAATCCGACGTATTCATGACGACAGTGGCATTTCCTTTGTCTGCTGGCATTATTAGAATATTTTCGTTTTTGTTTAGATTCTTTAAGGCTTGCATTTCTTCTCTGCTTAAGTTTGGTTGCGGTGGTTTTGACTGTCTTAAGACTCTGGCGACATCTTGCCTAATTAACTCCGCATCTTGTTAGTCTATGGTGAAAAGACTTGCTTCGACGTTGGAAACGAGATCTCTTCGACGGGTAATCTTTTTGGAGCTACTGCATAGTTAAATCCTTTATTCAGTACGCTGACTTCTGTCTCGGAAAGATGGTATGCTGAAATATTATGAACTGTACTGCTTCGGTTTGTATTTGGCACTTGTCCTGATTTTTTGGAATTTGACTGAAGGATTTCTAATTTTTTCCACAGTTTTCTTGAAGTGATGTCCTTGTCTTTCTCAGTGCGCCATGATGTTAATAATTCTATACGGTCCCACAGCAACTGATGGATCTTGTTGCTCAGTTTCAGATGGAGTCTGAGAAGTTGTAGCTCAGTCTCACTAATTTCGTACCGGGTCCGCCTGATCTGGTCTTGGAGTACGGCCTTGCTAGCTTTATCCAGGATAGATTGCGTCTTTCTAGTGCGTGTGTGATAAGACAACCTTGTAAATGTTGGCAGCAAGTTCTGGTTGCGGCAATTTATAAGAAAATTCAAGTTGCATAGCGAAATAACCCTCCTTTGTCTTAGTTTTTCATAACACTTGGTGGCTGTAAAGGTCTCCTCCCCGTAAAGGTGTATGATATTTTCACGTATTGATTCACGGATGGAAAAATGTGATGACACTATATTCCGGGATATCATCCGTTCGCTTGTTGAACTCCGACTGGAATCCTGCATCCGACTGGAATCCTGCAAATCTTGCATCCGACTGGAATCCAGCAGACGTTTCGCCAAAATCTCACTTGGCATATATATATATATATATATATATATATATATATATATATATATATATATATATATATATATATATATATATATATATATATATATATATATATATATATATATATATATATATATATATATATATATATATATATATTATATACATATTTTTAGTGTCCTGATGAAGCCTGTATCCATGGGCGAAAGCTTGATTTTACAATAAATTGCCTCTTTGCTTTGAGCTTCTGCATCTTTTATGCTCCCTTTACTGTATTCATCAAATTGGGCGATCACAGAGTTAAATATAGTCGGTTTGTTACTGTCCCTAACTCCTTTTTTAAAAACTATACGACTTTCATTCCGACAAAGTGAATAGCACTTTAAAAGTTGGTAAACCAAACATACATCGACGTCAATTCACGAAGCAAGATTAAATCCCGTCGTCATTCAGGACGTTCGGCAATTACCTAATAGGAAATTCGCAGTATATGCGGAAAGCTTAAAGCATCTTCCATTTCGGGTATCGAATTTCCTATTATTCTTCCCCTCGTGTTCCGATAATACTACACAACCGCTATATATCAAGATATCCATTTAAGATTTCTCACATGAGGGAAAATTGATGGATCAGTAGAGCGTGTATTGTAAACATTAACTTACATTGTACTTTCAATTGAACCCTCTTGCTGATTGAAGGGGGAACGCCATTCGATGCTATACACAAATAGGCTCCCATATGAAGCCGACTGACCTTTGTTATGAAGAGGATCTCGCCGTCAACCACATTAACTGAAAACGAAAATTAGGTAGGTTTTAAAAAAATCACGTAAACTATTATATTTTAGTAAAAATCTTTTGCAATTGAGAATGTGACTCAGAAATAATACGTGCAAAGGATACTATTATGTATATTTGATACAATAAGACTTCAAGTGCTTCAAGTCCAAGTTCATATTGGGCTGCACCTACTCTAAATTGTTCCCTTTTTTGTATGCCAAAATAGTTTTAAAAAATTCTCCGAGATTTTGTTTTATGCAATTTTGAGGCGAATTATTAATGTAATTTTTGTATATTGTAGGTTACGTCGTCGTCCTATCATTCCGAGAATTAAATGAAGTGAATATTTTCATTGCTATTCCTTAAAGAGGGTTATAGGAACATTAGACATCACAATATCATAATAATTTATGATAAAATACTTATTTTTATTACATGATGATAGATAAGACTCTACACAATTGTAAGATTTAAAGATTTCAAACATTTTCATTGAATTTGTCTAGTCAATTAAGAAGTGGTCAGCCCCAATACTAGTGGTATTTAAGCGAAAAAGAATAAATAGCCTTTGTCTAAAAATTTTTTTTATGTATTGGCTCAAATACATACATACATACATATCGTTAATTGTTGCTATTGGCTATAATGCGAATATAATTATAAGAAAATTATTTTATAATTTGATAATAATAATTCGCATGGCGCACTGTGAGGTCGGAGCCACGGGATACGCCGTATAGAATTCTTATTTTAATTTATTAATTGTTTCAAGTCAATACTGTAGGTGTACAGTATTGTACAAATAATTTTACTTCTATAGAAGGTACTGCTTTGCGTGGTTTCTCTGATCTGGAGGAATATTCAAAATTCAATTAAATACAGGCGTGTCTCTAAAACAATAACACGACATAACCATGTTAGCCAAAGAATTCTAACAGTTTTGTGTATTTGGGTATGATTAAATGAAACTCAACAATATTCGGATAGAGAGAAACTCGCTAAAACTAAAATGTTCTTGATTCAAAAATTAAAAGTTTAGAAAGAAGGTACTTTATTTGCAATAATAAAATTGAACCTAAAGCAAAACAAAATATTAAATATAGCATTGAAATCTGATACTTCTCACTTGATACACTTTTTTTGCTAAAATTAAATGTATTGGTTACTTTTGGTTAGATGGATCTCCCATGTTTCCTGGTATATGATTTTTTCCAATAGAGTAAGTGGTTTTCAAGAAAATGCTTGTTTTCTGAAATCATGCAGTCAGTACGTGATAATAGTAAATGACCTCATCGCGTTTAGATTGAGGGAGAGAAATTGTGATTTTCATTTGGATTTTTTCAAATATCTCGAACAGCGTACGTGATTGACGAAAACCGTAAATACAAAAATTGTAGCTCTCGATGTGGCCTATAATACTGCTTAAACCAATTGGCTATATTTTTCACGAATATTGATTTACGGCTAATAATATAAAAGAGAAAGCAGCAATTTTCAGAGTCTTTTAGATTTTTGTCTATAATTGAAAAACCCTGTACATAATGGAAAAAATGCCTGAAATAAAAATTATGGTCCCGGATCTCCAGCATTCACAAATTTTGCCGATCAATAGTTTTAGCTGTTTATGTGGGCTATATCGTCATGTAAAATGAACCGACATCCGAAGCATAGTCTGTAAGTTATAGCCAATTTTCAATAATAGGGGGATCCATTTTTCAGTTCTTTTGAATTTGTGGCGTACCCTGTACATTATTGAAAAATTTTCAGGAATAAAATTTTATGGAGCCGAATCTTCTGCGTTTTTTCGCAATGTCCAATAAATAGATGAAAATTGAAAAATAAAAGATGTCCGCCATTGTGCAATCATCCCCATTTTCCAACACTTTGTGCACCTAGTGAACTGTAAAAAAAGAAGCAAAAGTTGAGGCACCTAGTTCAAACGACTCGAGAGTTATTGAATTAAAACCCGTGACAGAGAGAACGGAGAACGGAAAAACAGAAAAACAGAAAAAAAAAATAGACGCTGATTCTATCTGTACCAATGGCAGCGTTGTACGTCGCACCATTACCACCGTTTTTATTCTTTGGGCATACGTTCTTTTTAATTTGCACGGCGGTACTTGTTTTTTGAAATACGACCTAAACGTGGTATTTAAAACTGACAACGCCTTAAGGACAAACCATATTAGACAACGTGACTCATGAAATTAATTATCAGCGATATATTTAAATATATCGCCTCAAAAAATTAATTTTATTGGATACCATGGAGAGTTTTGGAAATTGTCCATTATGTTACTTCAAATTCTTCTGCGAGACAGCCAGTGTATTTTTTTGTGTGTTTTATCCATAAATTAGATAGAACTGTTAATATTTTAAGCTTATACACGCCTGCTTACAATACATTAAATATTGAGCTAAAATTTCGTGTGTTTTGCCCCTAAATAATCTCAAATTTAACTGGTTTAAAGTGTAAAGTTTATTTAAAATTCTACAACTCTTAAAGAATAGCTTCTATTTTTCTTGAAGCCCAGTGATAAAACTTGTTTTTTCTTCAGTGTTTAATAACTTTCAGTGGATGAATAAAAAACGAAGGTTTTATTCCAATGAAAACAACACCACAGAAACGGTGCATTTACAAAAAAACGAAGTGACTTTCAGGATATCGATTGTGTTAATTCAGTAATACAGAGTGACCTAAATAAAGACATTTTTTTCAAATATGTCTGAAACTTGTTCAAAATGCAATGATCAGTGCATATCTAAAGAGAGTAAAACTGTAATGTGCAATGCAGAAATTGTTCTAACTTGTCGGCTAATGAAGTAAATACTTTGGTACAAACATCCCAAAGAATTTTGCGCTTCGTATGTGCAGATTGCTTAAATATTATCAAGGAACTGCCACAGCTTAAATTGCTAGTGATAAAATTGCAATCAGAAGTGAATGACCTTAAAGAAATTTCCCATAAAACAAAACAAAGTTATGCAGATATTGCTAAAATTAGAAATGAGGCTGAAACAATCAAAATCGGGATGGATCAATTGCACCAAAAAGTTGAGTCCTTAAATTCTCAAGGAAGAGCAAATTCTATTGAACCTACTATTGAATAACTAAATGAACGAGAAAAACGAGCAACAAATATTTTATTATTTGGTGTAACAGAAAGGAATGAACAGGGCAGAGAAAAACATGAAAAGTGACGGAACAAGTATTAGCGTTAGTTAACAAGGCAAATGAAACAATCACATCAGGCAATATCAAAATACTTAGATCAGGGGAACCCGAAGCAGGCAAAGTGAGACCGATAAAAATCATATTTCAATCAAAGGAAGTAGCTCTAAGCATTTTTAATTCTTAATCAGAAGAAAAAGAAAGAAAAAGTTAGATACCGATAACAGTTACATTAAAAGACGTACTGAAAATGGAGAACAAAATTTAAAATATGTAAACGCTGTACCTAAAATAATTAAGGAAATTGCAAAAAAATAATAAATTACCAAGAAATTCAAGTAACATTTTCGTATAGTAAAGTGCAGTCCATAGTAAACAAAATTGATGAGTGGCATGCTTCTGTAAAAATGCACAATCCAGTCTGTATATTTATAACAGAAACATGGCTCAGCCCTAAAATTAGCAACAGTACAGGGTTCGGCAAAATAGGTACTATTTGGGATGTTAATAAAAACCAAACTACTTAAAGCAAAATTTTTTTTTGATTATTTTTGAAATGTACATTTTATGCCATTTAGGAACGGTATTTTGCAAAAATGATATCTTTTAAATGACGGCCATTATTGTTGATGCACTCGTGTAGGTTCTCGCGGAAGCGCATTATTACCCGATGGATCATTTCTCGGGGAATTGAGGCAATTTCTTGTCTTTAATTCTTCCAAAGTCCGCGGACGATGTGTGAAAACTCTCACTTTCAGGTAACCCCAAAGAAAAAAGTCGCAAGGTGACAAATCAGGTGAACGTGGCGGCCAAACAGGATCACCCCGTAAAGACACCACTTTGTTTAGGAACATTTCTTGAAAAAGATTTAGTGAACGACGCGTTGTGTGCGATGTACCACCATCCTGCTGGACCAAAGATGTTCTCTTTGATCGTTGTTCAACTCGTTCACTTTTGGACGCAAGAAATTGTTAAGCATATCAAAATATCGATCTCCGTTGACTGTTACCGTTATTCCATCTTCTTCGAAAAAGTAAGGACCGCACACGCGGAACTCCGAGATTGCACACCAGACGGTGACTTTTGGACTGTGAAGAGGTCGCTCATGAAGTTACTGTGGACTATTTGCTGACCAATAACGGAAATTTTGCTTATTTACGGTACCCGAGAGGTGAAAGTGAGGTTCATCGCCTCACAGCAATACAGTGCCTCTGGGAATGTTTTGAAGAATATCCCGGCATAAATTTGTACGGGTTTCAAAATCTCTTGCGCTTAATTCCTGCACTACCATTATTTTGTACGGATGCATTTGGAGTGAGTTGCGTAAAATTTTTCGAACACTTCTATCGGGAATTCCCAAAGCAGCTGCATGCTTACGAGCTGAATGCCTTGGAAACTCTCATTCTGCATTCACATTTTCCGGTGTTCTTACTGTCCTTGGTCAGCTAATAGATTTTCGGTTAAGCACAGAATCTGTTTCCCTGAAGTGTAAAACCCACCGACGAATTGTTCGTCCATCCGAAACCGCGCCATGCAGACCAACATCAAACTGATTACGAAAGGCGAGCTGCGTCGCTATTACAGATTCCCCATTTCTAATAAACTCCTCGACAACGAAAGCACGATGCACTCCACTCCAAGCCATGTCGATAACTGAAAATTGCATACTTTTGTCTGCCTAACCCGAGTGCGTACACAGTGTTGCCGGTTTTACAAACCAAACAACCATTATTTCAAATCCTGCCTACCTTTTCGCCGCACCCTGTGTTATCCAGATTCCAGGATATATTACTTATCGCCAGGATAGAGAGGAACGGATTGGAGGAGGAGTACACTTGCT